TTTTTGGACAAGACTTATTGAACAATTCCACTCATCCTTTGCACCATTGCAAGATAATTGTTCTCTTTTTGATTCATTTTTGTATGCAGATATAACTAACCCAATTTCATCTAACAATACCTTAATCCACCTCATTTTTTGTGCAGGTAGTGAGTGAAGAGTGGAAAGTTGAAGATCCTTTGGATTGGAAATCTAAGAAGCTAAGGAGTAGAGAAGAGTGAATGCGCCAGGCGCGAGACTAACCGCACCGGGCGTGATCGAGACAGAGAGTTTCTCTGGAAGACATTGTGCCGGGCGCAAAAGGAATTGCGCCGGGCGTGTACTGAGGTAAGAAGTGCTTAACTTCCCTGGAAGGCCCTGCGCAGGGCGCAAAGATTTATGCGCCGGGCGCGTAAACCCTAATCTGACTCCCCAAGCTCGTATTTGAAGGCATTTTCGAGGGCTTTTCTCCTCATTCACACATTGGGCGCGTTTTAGGAGCTGTGGAAGGGATTCCCGGAGCTTGGAGCCGTTCGTGTGTGGGTCTTTCCTTCGGTTCTTCATTTATCCCTTCATCTCTATTTTGTATTTACCCTCATTGTTTTGAGTGGTTCCACCCATTTTTGTGGGGTTAGATGTAACCAACGAATTCTAATGTAATCCTTACGTTTTAATGATATATATATATATGTTGTTCATTCATTGTTGTGTTGTTTCTATTCTTAATGCTTGCTTTGGATTGATTCTCCTTTGCATGATATAGGTTCCATTGGGTGTTGGAAAATAACCATTGAAACTAGCTCTGAAACAAATGTCTAGTGGGAAATGTATCTAGGAATGGAGCTTAGCCCATTAGTAGTCTTAAACCCTAGCCCGTAATGCGGGTGTAGATATTGGGTACTCAAGGAATTGATATTCAATATCCGCACCTAGGCTCTTGCTCTAAGGGATTAGGTTTGAGTAAACTTATGAGTTGACTAAGTAATGTATGTAACAAGAGATTAAGGATTCATTAGTTTAACGTTTGGTGAAATCTGACCCCACAATCTCACAAAAACCATAATACCATTTCTACCTTTGTCCACTCACAAACAAATATTTTTATAGCTTTCATTCCAATAGTCATAACTTTTGATTTAACTTGCATGACAATTTATGAATTTGGAATCATTCTTTAATCACGAATAGTCAATAAATGCTTATTTTACCTTCTAATCCCTGTGGATACGATAATTTTACTACTTGAACGGCCGGTATACTTGCCGTGTTTGAGACCGTTGATAGAATTAAACTAATTTACAATTATAACAAATGTGTTTCAACGGAAATCTCAACAAAGCCTTGCATAGTTCATAACAAAAGGGGGAAAACAAACAATAGAGCATAGTTCATTGGAAAGTAAAGAGACTACAAATAACCAGCAATTTTAATCGTCCTTGGGAAGATCCACCAACTCCCCGTTATTAACTTTGGTAACAGGCGCCGCCACATGGCACGTGTATGGTCTCGGCCTATTTTTGATACGATTCATAGGAGCGGTTGCTTAAGCCCTTTCGCCTTTTAGGCTCAAGGCTGGAAGGCAAGTATACCGTCTCGGCCTATTTTGGATACGATTCATAGGAGCGGTTGCTTAAGCCCTTTCGGCTTTTAGGCTTAGGGCTGGAAGGCAAGTGTACCGTCTCGGCCTATTTTCGATATGGGCGTGGGAAAAAGGACCGAGACCCACGTCACCCTGCCACGAGGGGTCACTCGGCAAAGGACCAATCCTATTTTGTAATACGGGTGAGCCCGATTAGAATATGACCCGACCACCCTCACAGGAGTTGTCTCGGTGAAAAGACCGACCTTATCCAACCAAGTGAGTTAGCCCGACCTGGGTATGGTCGGTCAGGGTGTGCTCGGCCATGGTGAGATCGGCCAGGCTGCACTCGGCCATGGTGAGATCGATCAAGCTGTGCTCGGCCATGGTGAGATCGGCCAGGATGTGCTCGGCTAATGTGAGATCGGCCAGGTTGTGCTCGACCATGGTGAGATCGACCAGGGTGCGCTCGGCCATGGTGAGATCGGCCAGGCTGTGCTCGACCATGGTGAGATCGGCCAGGGTGTGCTCGACCATGGTGAGATCGGCCAGGGTGTGCTCGGCCATGGTGAGATCGGACAGGCTGCACTCGGCCATGGTGAGATCGGTCAGGCTGTGCTCAGCCATGGTGAGATTGGCCAGGATGTGCTCGGCTGATGTGAGATCGGCCAGACTGTGCTCGGCCATGGTGAGATCGGCCAAAGTCCGAGCGGGTCTCACCCTTTGGACTAGTCCGAGAATCAAGGATGAAAAGCCTATCTTTGATAATCAAATATTCCCAAGGAAAACCATTATGAAAATCCTCGCACTCATAAGACCCAAGTGGCCCATGAATAGAAAAGTATAAAACCTAAAACCCTAGAGTTAAGACGGCAGATTACACTTTTGAATGTTCTGGCTCTGAGGCTTAACCTAGGAAGAAACCCTAGTCCACCCTTTGGCCGGAACAACAAATAATACAGTATTCAATGTTTTATCGTGTGCGACTTTACTTTGTTTTTTTGTGTCTACTTTCCAAAACGGGGAAATTGTTTTCAACACCATTCATTTGATGTATTCAACAACATTTCAAAACACGCAATTAATCGTTATTGTTAACACTCATTCATTTAAATCCTTTCTGGATTCTCTACACACATTTTACTAAATGAGAATAAATTTATACTCTCATTTTCTTATTTATAATTATGTTATGTATTGTTTTCTTTTTTTTATAATTATTCAATCATCATCATATATGTAGTTATAAATACATTAGTCATTTCCTTTCTACATCCTATATTGTATTTTTTCTTTGTCATTCTTTTTTTATAACATTTTACAGATTTTTTTTACAAGAAATATCTTTAATTAAATTCAGTTTTCTTAATTAAATAAATATTTAGCAGATAAAAGTCTCTAATATTAAATTAATCTTGAAAAAATATAAATTATTAAATTTAGAACAAATTTAATGCTATTAATTTGTATTTTTTTGTATATATTTTTCTATTAAATTATTTATTATATTTTTTAATAATAGAGAAAGATAGAAAAAAAAATTAATGTTGTACAAGTATATTGTTGCACATGTATTATTACATTTCTGTATGTAACCATCTTTTTTAAATTAATAATTCAGTAACTTTTTTTATTCAGATATATTAATTGTTATTCAGATTTGGTGATGTTTGCTTACACATAGTTAATATATATATATATATATATATATATATATATATATATAGAGAGAGAGAGAGAGAGAGAATGAATGTGAAAATATAGGTAAGAATTCTTTATTATTGTAAGAAATGAAAAATTATAAATTTATGTCCTATATATAACCATATTTAATTTGATGGTCCAAGATTAAAAATAGTTATTGGTTAATTACATAACTGATATATATTTTTTTTTTGGTAAAACTAACCATTTATATTTTGATATGTTATGTGTGTGTGAAAGGAATAAATCTTACTAGTATAAGTTACACACTCAAAAATTATACTATATTAATAACTTTATATAAAATAAAAATTTTATTTATTCAATTGTTGAATTATAAAAAATTACTAGTATAACAATATATACGTTTGATTATATAATAAAAAGTTATTAACAGTGTAACTTTTTGTATAATTTATAGTGGTGGCGATTGGTCCGTTATTTTGGCCTTAACATGAAATATATAATAAGCGGCATGTTATCTGATGAGATACGTATGTTTCATGTGATTTTTTTTATTTATTTATAGAAATATGATGGTCGAAATTAAGGTTAGTAGTGAGTCCAGATGAATTGTCTTGGCCTTGATAATATTTGTCTTAGTTTAAATTTTGACTCGAGTTCAATCTAAATATATTTCTTTTATTCAGTTTGTATTCAATTAGGTTAAAGCCCGCTTACGGCTCAGTATATCTTGTTAGCTTAAATCATATTAACTAAAAGTCAATTTTAATTAATTTTTTAATTTTATGCATTTCAAAATTTTTATTTATTAATAAATTTTAGATAAAATAATTATTTAATTTTATTTGAAATACAAAATATAATTTATTTTGTAAAATTTGTAAAATTATAAGGTATATGTATATAAAAAGAATTACTCATCTTACATAAAATAACAAAAAAAAAATTAATTCATCATCATAAAGTTTTAAGGTGTCCATTTCTTATATTATTATTAACTTTTAACTAAGTTTTATAAATTTTTAATTTTAATAAGTTGAAATTAAATGAAAAATCAATTCTATAAATTATATATTTATATGTCGAGCAAATAAATGAATTGATTTATATATAATTTAAGTTTGACTGATTTATTTATCAAAATTAATATTTAATTCAGATTTAACTCATTTAGTTTATAAATGAAATTTAACAAATAAATTATCAAATTGAATTTTAAATTACTTTTTGATAGTAAAAATATTTTGAAGTTGCTATTAAAGACTTGCTTTTTATTTTGAATAAGTTACACCCACACCTTGTATTTAATTCATCGAAATTCACATGAAATGCTTGCCTATTTTCTTCTACCACAATCGATCCCTTTAGTTATTTGAATATACTCATACCTCATCTCATACTATCCAAGAAATCCATTACACCTTTATACCCTATAAGAGATGTTACCCTAAAAAAAAACGAAAGTATCGCATAAATTTCAAAACAACGTGTCAGTATTACGTACACTAGAAGAAAAAAATAGTTACAGAACAATTTAACTACGTATAGTAATGTAATAATTTCCTTTTCAGTTTTCGGCGGGGCATATTCAAAGGAGACTTTCTCTCTCTCTTGATATGAAGTATGAACGCGTACTAGCTAGGTCTACGCGCCGTTCTGTGTTGAGGGAATAATGTGAAAAATATGATAAACGTTGCCCTCACATTTAACAGTTGCAATGCACGTCTCTTATATAAGCACCACTCTTTCTTAATTCTTCATTCCACTCCACTACTAATCTCTACGTTCTTCATTTCTCAATTCTCATATATTATAGTGTCCCAATAAAGAAACCATATTAATCTTCAATTAATTTGTTGTGTTATAATATATCCCTATAAGAATGGAGGTTTCTTCATATCGTTCATCTTGCAAACCTACTATTCCTATGGGAGTGTTTTGCAGAAGAAGGGGCCATATTGTGAGAGCAAGTAATGGAAGAGACAATCACGTTGGTAAAGGTAAACTTGTGGACGAGAACATGATAGTGCTGAGATTGCGTATAAAGGAGATGAAGATGTTAGAGATGAATAGAGAGGCACCTAGTAACTGGATGGATTGGGAGAAGCAGTGTTATGATCACTACGATGAAGATGTTTGCAATGCAATAGGGTTGTTGCAGAGTTATTTGATGGGGGTTAGGCCTAGTGTTGCACTAGGGATGCTAACACTTGTAGCATTGAGTGTTCCGATTTCTTCTACAACCCTTTTGTTTTGTGCCCTCCAAATGGGGAAGAGCTTCTTATCTAGCTTTGGCTTATGCTAAAGAGAGAATAATTAATATGCGCACAAGGTTAATTTTAGTTGACCCAATGTTTTGATTTACTTGCATGAGTCTTGCTGTTAGCAGTGGAAATTATACAAGTGAATAAGTTGTACTTGAATCCAGAAAGGACCAATGTTAAAGTATATTATTACTCAAACTATTTTGCTGTTTATTGCATGTTTTTGGATTTTTATCATAATAATTTCATTTGATCATCATGAATCAATTAACATAAAATTGTTCTAATTTATGATTTTGAATTTAAACGCTTAATATGTAATTGTATTAAATGTCAGTTTTCTTGTATTTGTCTTGAGAAGGATTGTTTCTAATAAAGGATATAATTAATCTAATACCAAAAGTTGTTTTTATATTCAAATAATTTTGATAATATTGTTTTTTTCCCTAAATCAAAGGGGCTTTTAATTTATGAGCACTCAGTGCTGCTATCTTAATTTCATGCTAGGGATACTATATAGAGTACATGATCAACCCAGAGTGTTGTCTTTAAACGGGCGTTTTTTCTTAACTGATGTAATGATCAGAATATTAAATTTTATCGTCACATTTTCCAGTATCTGTGGCAAAATTCAAAACTTTAAGGATGATATATATATACCTTCAGCTTTAGAGATTACTATTGATCATTTTTCTTTTATATTTTCTTTCTTCATCAATTGAGAAAGGGAATAAATAGTAAACTAAATTTGTGGAGAGAAGCGGAATTACATGTTTTAAGCTAAATAGAAATAAAACACAGTATATATAAAAAATGCGCAGTTTGGGAAAATGCACGATAGCTAAAGCTTAGCAGTAAAAAATTGGTAGCATGCCATAAGCCAGAAATTAAACGGTTGCAGTATCTTAGACTTATCACATAAAGTGCAATATAAATAATAGAATTCGAAGTTAGGTAGATGAAGTGGAAAATGGTTTAGGTGTTTCAGATGAAATCAGAAGTTAGTAGTGACCCATATAAGCTAAAAAAAAGTTTTGTACTATTAAGATCAAACCAAATGTTTTATATATAAGGCAAAGCAACCATAAATGTTTACCATTTCTTGATTCAAATTAACAACCACCAGTGAAGAAAAAGATTTTGTTCATGTTATTATTTGTTAAAACTGTATTGAACATATATGCAGAAGAGAAAATTGCAAAGTAAATAACCAAAGAAGAAGATGAAGGAAAAGAGAGAAAGAAAGAGGTTCCTTTATATAAAGATAGAACCAATAAAACTAAAAATAAAAAGTTGAAAAATAACAAACTTATAAAAATAGCAAAACTGACTTATTAACACAACTAATTAAATAAGCTAAAATGGAAAAGAAATTACAATATTCAATATCCAATATCCCCTCTCAGGATGGGAGGAATATGTTAGTGATACCCATCTTGGATAACATGTTTAAGAAAGGTGCCTTCGTGAGAATGTTACCCAACTGAAAATGTTTTCTTACATGGTTTAGTCTAATAGTACCTAGAGTCACCTTCTCTTGAACAAAATGTAAATCAATCTTGATATGTTTGATCCTTTCATGGAAGGTTGGATTAGTTGCAATGTATATAGCAGCTTGGTTATCATAATATACCATACTTGGAGATCTAGGAATATGAAAGTTTGTAAGTAAATTTGAAATCCAAGTGACCTCAATGGTCACAGAGGCTAATGATTTGTATTCAACTTTGCTGATAGTCTTCTATCTCTTAGATTTCCAAGAAATAAAGTTGCTTCCCATGAATATGAAAAAATCTGTTGTAGATTTTCGAGTGTTTGAGCAAGAAGCCCAATTTGAGTCCATAAAAGTATGCAATCTCAATTCTAAATTTGACTTAAAAAAACACTCTTTAACCTATTGTATGTTTGATGTATTTCAAAAGTTGATGAGCAGCATTGAGATGTGATGTATGAGGATTTGACACAAATTGACTCAATTAGTGTACTGCAAAACAAATGTTTGGTCGAGATATAGTTAAATATAATAATTTACTAATAAGCCTTCTATACTGGCCTGGATCAAATAATTTAGTACCAAATATGGCAATAAGACTCAATGAATTTTCCATGGGAATTGAAGAGAGTTTACAACTACTAAAACCTGTTTCTTCCAGAAGTAAAAGAGCATAGCCTCTCTGTGAAAGATAGATTCCAGTTTTGGATCTAGCAATGTCTAAGCCTAAGAAAAACTTAAGACTACCAAGATCTTTCAACCTAATAAAGTGACTTTGTAATATTTACTTTGTTTTGATACGGTACTTCATATTATTAATTTATTCCGTAATCCATTAAAGTTTAATGTAGGGCTGGGGTCACTATATAAAAATGTCATATATTCATATTGTTAATTGTTAATTATGCACTAGTATTGTCTTTATTTAATTAAAATTAATTTGACAATATAATTATCATATATGCATATATCTATTTTTCTATTAATATATGACAATAGTGGATACTTTCAATCTATATTAGATCGATTCAAAAAAATTCATTTGATCTAATTTTATATTTTTCCCACCTAATGAATTTGATTTTAAATTTAAACCTAATTTAAAGGAGTTTAAATAGAATACATATTTTTTATTCCTTGGGGAGTATATATATAAATCATAAAATATATAATATAACAATGTAATAACAACAATCCAATATATATATATAT